AAGTGGGGGGGGTGGAGCAGAGAGGGTGCACACGGACCGCTTTCTCTCTTGGCACATCAGTGGATCTGGTCACCTCAGGCAGGGTAGGCGGATCTATCAAAAGATCTTGGGGAGCCCGTTCCTACTTCCCTGAAGACTAAGCCATCTTCTTGTCTAGTCTGGCTTCCCACAGGCTTTGTAATGGCCCTTTCTCTGGACATCAGAGATTAGGGGTCTCTCTGCCAGTCTCAGGCTGAAAGCCAACTTCCTATGAACTCACTGCTGCTGCTGCTCAGGGTGCCTCACAAGCCTTCCAATCCGGCACTTAGCTATTATTTCCTCTTCTTTTTCCAGGTCCTCTGTTACTATTGTGAGGGTAGGTCTCGTGGGTCCCATTGGGTTCCTAGTGTATACCTTGACCCTAGCTCTCAGTACTCTAAGCAACAGCTGACTGGGCCACTGAGTACTGTGGGACACTTTATAGCAGACTTTATTCCATTATTGCTGTATATTTGAGCACACAGGAGGTGTTCTGTCTACACCTGATGGACTCCCATTGCTGTGATGTATTAACAGTCCTTGACTACAGGAGGATGCTCCTAGGTATGTTTCCCTGAGAAGCAAGGAAGTCAGAGAAATGAAGAAACTCAGTCATGAGATGGCTCGACCTTCCTTCCATCTCTACGCTCTGGTCTTTCTTTTTTCTTCCTTTGCCAGCAACGTGAATCTGCATACCCACTTCCATCATCTCTTGATACCCCCATGTGACCTTGCGAAAGTCTTATCCATCAGGCGCCTCTCGTGGGATGTCACTTCCTGTCTTCATCTTTCTACCGTCCCTTTCTCTCTGCTTCCTTCTTTTCCTCCATCCTCCAATTCAAGCTTTTGTCTCCTTTCCTTGGCCAGAAATCAATTCTTTGATGTTCTTTCTCTCGTCCCCCCCTTTTCACAAGCTTTGTACCTCTCCAAATCTCTTCAGCTCTTCTACAGTAAACATCATGCAGGGGACCCTACAGCTCCCTGATATTCCTCTCTATCAGTCTTCACCCTTCTTTGTTTACCTTGCTTCTGTTTCTCTCTCCCCCTGTCTGCATTATAAAGCTTACCAATATTGCAAAAAAGTGGCAGAGTGGGGGAAACTAACTGTCACCAGTGCGGCCATTGAACCTTGAACTTTTCAAAAACGCCCATGTGGAGCCACTCTGAGGGGACTGCTTGCTTCTCCCTTGTTTCCACGTCTTGCTGGCACATACTACACATGAGTGGCTACGCTTTAGTCCCAGTAGCCTGCTCTGTAACCAAATGGATCTCTGAGGCCAACTCCAGAGATGTTACAGCCTGGTAATTGAGGAAGTTGTAGAAGGAGGTCAGCCCTGGGGGTGGTGGTAGCTTGCTATTGCAGTGGTTTCTTGACATCTCTTGAAAACCTAAGGTGCTCCTTCTGTGGTTTTATTCAGAGAGCAGATATCCTTTTCCTTGATATTTTCCACCACACTGAAGGGCAGTTGCCTCGTTTAAGAAGTCCTATAGCCTTGTGGAATTACGTGGGAGGGTAAATTACTCTGTTTTAGTGAAAGACAGGGAAAGAAACGAAACACAGTCTGGAGCTAGGTGGCTGTCAGATTCAACTGTGAGATGCCTTAGCAGGAGATAGAATGCTGTGTAGGTAGTTCATGTTTTTTGTTGTTGTTTTTTAGCTTCTCCTGTAGGTCTCAGTTATTTATCAATGTTGGGGTCCAGTGTTGGGATTCAGCCCCTAGCTATCAAAGGGTCCCTTGAAACGGGGAGTGAGGAATTGAGAAGTGATAGATAGATAGAAATATAGGTGTAGGAAAAGACAGAGACACAGGATAGCTTCAGGAGGGCTCTGGGTCAGTACCCAGCAGCCACAAGTTTATTTCTGGTGGGCTTTTTTATACACTAGCAATGGGAGAGGCAAAAGACCTCCCCCTTTCAAGATCAAAGCACAACGTATAACCCAGTGTAGACCCTTCAAAACACCTGGTAACCAGGCCCCATGGCAAAGCATTTTGTGATTTGGGCTTGAAGTATAAGACACCTGGTAACCAGGCCTTTGCATCCTATTATGCAGTCTTGGAGAGCAACATAAACTCTGACTCTCAAACCTGGAAACAAACCACAAGCTGAAATCTTTGTGGACTTCCACATATCAACTCAAAGATTCTGAGTCAGACAGATCCTCAAATGTCATTTCATTGTAGTTGGCCTCCATGGTTGGGTCTTTTCTTGGCCCAAAGGGAGAGAGAGCCCTCCCAGCTTTTTCAAGATAAGAAGTGACTTCTAATTTCTATTGAGCTGGAAGAATTTTTTTTTATTTTTCTATTTCTTCTTGTTACATTTTGGTTTGGTTTTTGAGATGGGATCTCTTGCAATCCTGCTTTCTCTACCTTCAAGGGCAGGTATTTTAGGCATGCACCACCATGCCTTTTAGAATATTGTTCTTTGAGAAGGTCAAAGGCTTTCTGTTTGGACTTCCTTCTGGATGGCCCCATTCTATTCCCTAAGGTTTGGCAGAGTAAATGTCATCCGCTTTCCACTTGAGAGCCCCTTGGACATTTGAAAATATTAATGATAGAGTAGTAGCCCCACTTTCAAATTTCCCATGGCCTGGTTTCACATCGTTTGGAGATGCTGGTTGCTGAATCCTCAGTCTACCCTACTTTGCCTGGCGGGGTCTAAAGCAGAAGTAGATGCTCCAAATAGCCCCAGAGGGAACAATGCCTGCCCTGCTTCCTCATCTACTGCCTCGATCCTCTACCACTGACCTGCCATTCCTTGAATGCTCACTACACCTGACACGCACATCCTGAGCAATGTTTTTGGACTTAAATGCCAACTCGATAGCAGAGTGAGACCCAGTCTTAGCTGAAGACACATTTGCATGGAAGGTAATGCTCCTGTTTTTTGCTGCTTTCTTACAGTTGTTTGACTTTTTTTCTTTTCTGGATGGAGAGCCTTATGCAGCATTGACTGGTCTCCAACACGCTGTGCGGCTGAAGATGGGCTTGAACTCCTAATCTCCCTGCCTTCGCCACCAGCATGTTCTAATTACAGGCCTGCATTGCCATGCCTACCTTTCAGTCTCTCTCTTTTCTGTTTCATGTGCGTTTATAACAGAACTTAAGCATTGCCAGAGTTGTTGAACACTTGCTCCACCCGAGGACCCAGGACAGGTCCAAGCAATAATGACAGACTCTTTGCTCAATAACCATATCATTAGCTGGCTTTTCTTCTTCTTCTTCATCGTCATCGCCACCCCCACCATCTTAATGCCATAAGCTTCTCTTTCATGGGTTGTTGTTGCTATTTCGAAACTACTTCCTGTAGTGTTCATGTTGCCCATGGAGAAAGAGCCCATAAAATAGCCGTGGTTCTTAAAAAAATATAACTGTACCGGCTTACACCAAGTTCAAGCTTCCCATACAGTTCAGTACAGTGCTGCTCCCAGTATCAGAGAGGTAGTGGGATTTAATAGAGATGGGTGAGAGTTGGCTTGTGATTTGGTTCGTTGAGTAAACAGGAAGTGTTTTATATTGATTTCTTGCCAAAGCCCCCCCCCCAGGATAGCTAGAAGAGCCCATATAGCCATGTGACATGTGAAATGGGCTCAAAGCTTTCAGAGATTTCTATTTGATCACAGACTGGTCCATTAACCACTCCGACCTCAGTTTCTTTATCAGTGAAATAGGGCTCTTCTAATCTCCCAGCCAAGGCCCCCCAACTGGCCTGATGGTGAACTGATTGGATCACAAAGCGTGTGGTTGCCTAGTCAACACCAAATCACTGTCGTTGTCCTGCAAAGTCTCCTTATTCATTTAGGCTTCGCTAACGGTTACTGATAAATAAAAAGCTTCCCACTTGGTCCTATTGGTTCCCTGCCTGATTTGACATAATGATAAATTGAACTCTTGCCTGCAGCATCAAGCTGGGTCTCTCTCTCTCTGCATCATGCTCAGCACACTGTCGTCACACTGGGGGGGTGGGGAGAGCCCTGTTGCTGAGGGGGGCAAGCCTACTGCCCTGCCTTGAGGTTGAACTCAGCCTCTCTTCCCCTCATCTCCAGATGTGGAGCGTGGTCTGGCTGTCGTGGGTGGGAGGAGGTCAGGAAACCCAGTCCTGATGTTCCCTCTCCTCATGGTCTGTCCAGCAGCCCTGGAAGCATCACTTGTTTGCCTCTTTGCAGCAGAGAATAATAGATTTTTTTATTTCCTACCTGCCTGCTGGGTAGGTTAGAATGGATGAGATTGCATCTCTGCAGAGAAAGAGGCTATTTGGATATGCAGTCTGTATTCATCACAGTGGGCAGCAGAAAGTATCCCAGGGTTCCCAGGACACCAAAAGGCCAAGAGAGCCCAGGAGACTGGACCAGCATGCTTTTCTCAGACTTTAGAGATGATGCCTATCTCTTCAGAACAGCCGTGTGTGACGGATGGTGTGATTTCGTGATGCATTTTTACCAGTCCAAACTAGACACACAGCAGCAGCAGCAGCAGCAGCAGCGAATGATTGCCAATCACGTCGTCCTTTCTGCAGTATAAGCTCTGTAAGCTTAGTTACTACTGAGACCATTTCCACCTGTACTCAGGGACTTCCACGTCCAAAGAACTCTGGCTTTCCAGCGGATTTCCCTGGTGGATTTCAGAGGACCTCAGTCCTCCAGTTCACACCGAGGCGGTTACTCAACAGAGCAACACGGTGTGTGCTCTCTCGCCTTCGCAGCACTCCTCTGCTCCCACCCGAAGACACGATCCCAAACCCAGTACTGGCTTGCCGTGCTCAGCATCTCCCACTAGGGGGAGCCCCTGGAGGGCAGCTGGGGCTGAGCAATTTGGGAAGCGCTGAAGTTTTCTGCTCCTGTCCTGTACTGGTTTTCACTAACCCAACTGTGAGATTTCTTTGTTGCAATGTTGGGGTCTGAGATAACACGGCTGGAGGCTGCAGGCGAGAAACATAGCTGAGACCATCTTTTTTGTGTGTGTGTGTGTGTTGTTATTTACTAGCGCTGTGAAACCAAGGAAGTGAAATAACAAAGAGCCCGAAGAGAGCGCAGCCCCAGCTGGTAGGCCCTGGAGAGAGGCTGGAGTCCTCAGACCGACAGAAGGAAGACATCTGAGGGGCGACCAGGAGGTGTCTGTGGCTGCGGAACACAGGTGAGAGGCAGAGAGGGAGGACGACCAGGGGGCTTATGGGTAAAGAGGCACAGAGCCCCTGTGCTGGGAAAATGGATAGACTAAAATGAAGAGGGGTCAGCAGAGATTAAGGGGAAAGCAGTGCAGAGGGGCACTGATTGAGAACATCAAGAAAGGGAGGAGGGTAAGAGGTGGGGGTTCCTCAAAGGAGGGCAAAAGAAAGAAAAAAAGGTTGCTGCTGGAGAGAGAGAGGGCTTGAGAACAGATAGCAGTCTGAAGTTGCTTCCAACTCGGCTGCTTAAGAGACTTGACGTGAAAAGGGTGGGTGGGAGACTGACATGGGATGTCCAGTTGCGAAAGGAAGTTCAAAGCGAGTAGATGTGCCTCACAGTTGATCTAACTTTTCTGGTTGTGTGTCATATAGCCACACCTACTCCCACTTTGACCTAAACTAGAAGGAATTCTGGTCTGCCGGCGTTTCCAGGTTCTTTCCACTGTGAATCAATGCTTCCCACTTTCCCTTTCTTCCCTTGGATCTTCCAGCGCCGCTCTAGGAAGTGGACCAGCAATCAGAAATTCTATCTTCTAGTCTAGAACTTGCCACTTATTGTCGGGATTAGCCTAAGCTAGGAAACCCTGGAGTTTCCCTTTCCTTTGTCTGAAAAGGGAGATAATAATATATTACTGACGAGTGTTCCAGATTGTTCCGAGGACTAAATAAGCAAGAGGATGTGAAGAAATGCTCTTAATAGATTATAATTGCTAGCTAAATAAGAGTTGGCATTAATAATAATTAATCAGTTAATAGAGCCTTGCTGCTCTCAGCAGGGAGTTTGCTGAGTCCTGGAGAGGACGGTATACATGCAAATCTGCACTCATATCTTATTCTGCTAGTTGTGGACAATTTATACATGTAACTCCCCAGACTTTTAGAACTAATCTCTTTGATAAATGAGACACTTCATATTCACTCCTTTTTTTTTTTTTGACAGAAACAAATATTCTTTTTCCAGCCTCAGCTCTATTTTCTATTTCTCATGCAGACAAGTGATTGATGGCTTCTACATGGTGCCTGGGGGCGTGAGTTTTCTGTGTCCTGGACACAGGAGTCAGTGTCATGTCTTGGGCATATGGTTGGACTGTTTTGAAGAAGCAAATGACAGGCTGTGATAATAATAATCCCGTCACTCTCTCCCCTTTCTAGAATGTTCTTTCCAGGTCACTTGTGATTTTTTTTTTTCACCAAAATGCGATGTGTCAGACATAAAGTTGGGTCTGTGGTCTGGGTCAGGCTGGTGGCGGTCACCTTCGAGAACTTCAACGGGCTCTGACACCTGTAGCCAAATTCTATCCCCTCTCTCTCAGCTTTGAGCGTCAGTGTGGCATATGGGGAAGGCAGTGCAGACCATTTGTAAAGGGTTGATAGCTCTCTTTCATCAGCCACCTAGAGTTCTCACAGATCTTCCTCCTTGCATCTCAATGTACGTTTGAAGTGCACCATTGACCTGCAGACATCAACAGTTTGTGACTTGGCTAGCACTGTGCAATCATCATGACTCCAATGTGCCATTTCTAGTGATTGCCCCACACCTCAAGATTAGTTTAAGCTTTTGTTCCAGCTGCCAACAAAAGGAAGCTTTCTCCTCTCCTCTTCATGTCCACCAATCAAATGATGCAGTGAATATTTACAAAGATGCTAAGTTTAAGTCACATACCTATTCACCTGCCAGAAGTTAATATCCTGTCCAAATGTACACTATGTAGAAGACTGTATTTTTCTAAAATTACCAAGCACAGACACATGCACACACATTTGCATATGCATGTACATGTACATATATGTACATCTATATGTGTGTGTGTATGTGTGCATATACATACATTCCTTTCCCTTGAAAACACATTCATTCTGCATTTAATGGGAACTATGTATAAATATTCACATAGTACACTCAAAGTGCAGATTTCATGAAGAATAAGAATATGTGTCTCTCCCTTGGCATTCTAGTGGTTCTAGAATACAGAAGTGACCACAAGTCACATGGCTTAAAAAAATCATGGATCAATTTCTGCTCTGTCCGTAGTGATGAATATCGATGTGCTGCCTCTTCAAGACAAACTGTCAGCAGTTTCAGATATTTTTAAATGAGTTTTTTTTTAAGAATACATTTGCAAAGTCAATTATTTTGAATCTCATCTGAGGCAATTAAAAAACATCCTGACATTTAAGGTGATATTTTTTCCCCAAGTAAAATAATTATAAATAATACTAATTATGAACAAATCATTTAGTTACTCTCAGTCTGGTTCAACCTTTAGGTTAATAAACCAATCCATTAAAATTCATCTTGCTCAAAGGACCAATTTCTTTAAAAAATGTAGTGACCTTTTACCACAAGTGTGATTGATATTTTCTTTAACAATATCAGACCTGTCTTTCCCAGAGATGAGTGTGGTCCAGAGGAAGGTATAGAAAATTGGGATTGCTTTATGCCTCTCCTGATGGTGGTGAGGATACTGGGCAGGGTTGCAACCCTAATTTCAAATGGTACCTTAAGGAGACATCTGGAGGTCTCACAAAACTCACCAGTTTCATTCTTTATGCCCGAAAACAAGTTTAGATATTTCTCTCTACCTCTGTGTTTTGTTTTTACCAAACGTGTACCACAGAGATTTGCATGTATGGTATGGCCCATGGGCCAAATCTGGTCAAACATCGTTTTTTTGCCAAGTTTTACTGGAATAAAATTCCATCTGGGGACATGTTGTCTATAACTACATTTTCCACTAGAAAGGCACCTTTGAGAAGTTGTGACAGAGTAAATACATATCCTGAAAAACTGAAAATACTTATTACTGGGTCTCTAAAAATGCTTGCAAAGCCCAAGGTATGAGGAATGAGGAAAAAATAGGTGGTATTTTTGAATTTGTAGCTACAACGCCTTTCTAGACCGCACTGTAGAATTCACTGTCTGCCTGGTTCTATTGTAGCAGGTGTTACGTGTCTTTCTTTGCTGAGGAAGAAATGGCAGCTCTCTCTTCGGTGGTGCAGTCACTAAGTGGCACAGATAGGGGCTGGCAGCCACTAGAGAGACAGGGAAGGGTCCACTGAGTCTTCTCCTAGATGCTGTAACTGCCAAATGACACTGGACGGAGAGAATTCTTGACACTCTGTTCCCGCCATATCTGTCCTTGGTTTGGGTGAACCTCGGTTTATCTTCTCTGTCCCCATTCTCAGGACCAGTGCTGAGTGGAAAAGCAGAATGGAAAGAAAGCATCGTGCTTTGTAATCAAACAAAGCGAGGCTTTATTACATCAATTCTCACTTCTCCATCTGCCCAGAGACGGGCATGGTAGCTCAGATACCCTGCAACAGAAAGTAACAGCAAAGTCTTTGTTTGCAGAATATACTATCTTTTAAAAAGTTTGCTCTTTAAAACAGAAGATCCACTTTTAATTACACTTCTTTTTTCTTAATTCAAGTTGATATCAAAATTATATCTCTCCCCCCTGAGCTTATGACATCTGTTAGCAAAGTAGGCCACAAGGAGGCGGATCTTGGGAGGAAGGAAGCCTGGGATGATAAAACAAGACAATGGTTGTTTTCAGAGACCAGAGTTCTTCTCAATCTTACATTTTCATGAGGCAAAGGAGGCAAAGGATGAAAGGAGAAAGTTGAGAATAAGAAACATCTACATTGAGCCTTCCTCGGTGATTTCTGAGGGAATAAACTCAATTTTCCATTCAACAAGATTTTATATTGACTGTTCATTTTATCTCAATTGCTAGTTGAAAGATTATTGCACTGGCCAAGATTCTAACTTCTTCAAACAATGATTTACTAGAGAGGCAAACACATTAGAGAGCGTGTGTTTATAGTACACTTTTAAAACCTCAGACAGGAGCACAGACAGCCTTCAGCATCCTCCAAGAAGTTATTTTTCCTTGTGGGGCAAGCACAGCAGACAGTGTAAAGGAAGTACTATTTGGTGAGGTTTGAAAAAGCATAGATTCAGAAGTTGGAGGAGGAAGCAGTGTAAGAGGGACAGAGGGAGCGAAGTCACAAGCAAAGGGGAAGCTTTGTATATACTCAGAAAAACCGTCCATAGTAGGTGTGAATGGAAGTTAATGGAGTCGAAGGAAGAGAAGGTAAGTGAAGTAATTCTAGAAGACCTTGGAAATTAGGTTAAAAAGTTAGGTCTTGGGGCTGGGGAGATGGCTTAGAAGTTAGGAGAACTTTCTGCTATTACAAAGGACCTGGGTTCAATTCCTAGTACCCGCATAGTGGCCCAGAACCATCTCTAACTCCAGAGCATCCAGTGCCCTCTTCTTGTCTCTTTGCATACCAGGCATGCACATGGAACACATACATACTTGTAGGCAAACATGTATACATATAAAAATTTTCAGAATGAAGAACTTAGATATTACCTGGAGGGGTGGTTCAGGTGGTAGAATTCTTGCTGTGCAAGCATGAGCAACAGCTGAGTTAGTTCAATCTTCAGCACCCCTGTAGAAAAATTCTGAGTACAATAGTACATGTTTGCAATCCCAGTCTTGGGAAGGTGGAGACAAGAGGATCCTTGAGGCTCATTGGTCAGCTAGTCTAGCTGAGTTGGTGAGCTCCAGGTTCAGTGAGAGACCCTGTCAAAAGACATGAGTAGAGAACAATTGTGAATGGCACCCAGTGTTGGCCTCTGCTCTCCACACAAATGCACACATGAGTGCACATGCATGCATGAAATTAATTTTTTTCTATAGATCAGAAGTTCTCAACCCATTCACAGGGGTTCCCTAAGACCATCCTACATGTCAGATATTGACATTATGGTTCATAACAGTAGCAAAATTACAGCTATGAAGTATCAATGAAAACAATTTTATGGTTGGGGATCAGTACAACATGAAGAACTATATTAAAAGGTCACAACATTAGGAGGGTTGAGAACTACTATTGGAAATGGTAGGGCCCATTGACTGTGTGCAGAAGAATTACTTGACCTTTGTTTTGGAACAGAACATCACAATATTCAGTCAGAACCTGGAGGCAGACCTCTGGATAGAGACAAGCTGAGAAAGAGAGGCCATCACCTTGTGTTCTCAAAGCAAGACTCATCACTTACAACCCAGACTGTTGTAGGTTATGGCACTAGCTGAGGACTTTCTGAGGGCATTTATTTAATGGCATGCCAGTGGCATTTACTCATAAAACCAAGAAGCCATTGGGGCCAGAAATAGGGGTTTTGGTTACTTCCCCAGACAGGATGCAGTTTGGGTGATTATACACATGATTCATCGAGGTCGGGAAACAAATCCTGCACAAACACACGCCCCTCCCCTCCAAGCACAGTGACTCATGACTTCTTCAGTTTGGTCTACAGAAGGCTCTGAAGCCTGGGCAGAATTTGAGATATGATGTTCAGTCATAAATCTGTAGCATTTGTAATTACAAGAGAAACATTGCTCCCCATTGCTCAGGCAATAGGCATTTATTGAATGCTTACTATTTTAACACAAAGGATGTGAAGGTATGAAACATAGTTCCTGCCATAAAGTACTCCTCGGGTTAGATGGTAAAATGAAAGTGATAATGACAGCAAAGAGAGTGCCCCACAAGTATTCTGGAGAACTCCAAGCTAACTAAAGTGTCAGAGGAAAGATTTACAACAGCTATAGAAGGGATATGAAGTTGCCTCTTAAAAAATATCATTCTTTGTTTGACAGTTCAGCAAGTCGATATCAAGCTCTTTCCATGGCCTAGGCGTGGTTCTCGGCATGAGGCTTCATACTTCAGTAGAACCTCCATTCTAACCAAAGGACTCAATAAGTATAGTTAAGAACCAACCAAGCGGCCTCCTCTCAGGGGCTTTCCATTCTCACACAGGGACATTTCAGACAACAGGACTAGTCCCTCATTCCAAGAAAGAAGGGGGTGTGCCAAGAAACTAACCCCTTGGGAATGAGGGGAAAGAAGCCTCAGGCATGGGGTACCCAATATGACAAGAGGGCTTCTTTTAACTTTTGGGCACTTACTCGTTTATGGGGCATGTGCATATGCCATGGCATGCCTGTGGAGGTTAGAGGACAACCTGAGGAGTTAGTTCTCACTCTCCACGATGTGGGTTCTGGGAACTGAACACAGATTGTCAGGCTTGGCAGCAATTGTCTTTCCCTGCTGAGCCAGCTCACTGGCCAACGAAGCTTATTAATATGCCTGACATATTTTGGGCAAATTTCCATGCCTTTCTTTGACTTGAGTGCATGACAAACATAAGATGGATATCATTTGTGTACATATACATGAATGTACATATGTGTGTGTCCATATGCATGTATGTGTGGCATGGGGGAATCCAACTCTAGCTGTACACCTCCTAGGTAAGCTATGCACTACATCTATAGACCTCGGTTTTGTTTCTGTGTTCCTGTGTGTTTCAGACAAGACCTTATTGCATGTATCAGGCTATCCTGGAACTCATGATTCCCCTTTCTTTGCCTGGTGATTGCTGTGAGTACAGGCATGCCCTGTCAGTCTGGCTAAAATGGAAATTGTTTTTATCTGAAGATTCATAGCTCTGAGCCCCCAAACAGCATGACTCTGAAGTTTCCATCAGGCAACTGGAGTCAGCAATCAGGACTTGGTGTACTCATTGATAATTTTTCTGTGACTGCTCTGTGCTCACTTCATATCTTGAAGATTAAAAAAGGGAAGCTATGACACAGACACACTTTGCTTAAATAGTATTCAGGTCAAATTCTGTAACAGGCAACTCTGGCTTGGAGGTCGAGTTTGATTCTCATTTTATCAGGCTATCTAAAATAACCGGGTCATGAGGTGGTTATTGGCAGGGTCCTCACTGGGATGGGATTTGACCTACATAGGAAGAGAACCAGGACAGGAATAGTTCTTCAGTTCATCACAGACTTTGCAAAATCCAGTTTGAACAACTGCAGAATCACAAAGCTGGGAGACAGTGCATGTGACCTAAGGTGATCCTGATACCTGCCTCTGGGCAGATATATGCCTGTCTGGAAAGTTAATAAAAATTCCAGAACTCATTATTTTAGCAAATGTTTTAAAACATATCTATTCTGAATACTATAAATCCCTCTGGGGTAGTGATGCTATCTAGCCTTGGGCAAAACAGCTTTGTACCTCCTCTCGCTAGTAGGACTCAGAACCTATAGCATATTCCTTTCGGATACTTAGTGAGAGAAAAATAATGATCTTTGGAGTATATTTTATATTTTCAAAAAAATAGCCAAAATGTCATATCCAATTGGCCTAGCTAATGAGGCCATTTTTATTTATTAAAAATAAATTTAAATGTAGCTATAAAATTGTGAGCGGATGTTTTCATTTGCATCATGGCTGGTTTAAAAGAGACTTACCAGAAATTATAAAAATAATAAGTTCACATCCTTCCAGATGGCTAACTTGAGGTACGTGAATGCTGGGAAACTGTGCTATTTCTTACTCCACTTGGTAAGTTGCTTAAGGCTAAGAAGAATGCCTTGTTTGTCTCCAAATAGCCCACTCCAGAGCAGGTGCATGCTGGGACCAAGTTGTTGAGTAAATTAAAAAACAATGAAGTCATTACTTTGTGGTCATGCCATGAATTTTTTTTTTTTTTTGTCTATTTTGATTTTTTTTTCACCAAATATAAACCGTATGATCACCTTGAGACTAACTAGCTGGCAGGAAGTAGGGAAAGAGGTTTAGGAGATACAGCAATTGTTTGGGGGAGAGTTTGAATCTAGAGAAATTGTTGGGAGTAGGATGAGAGGCAATGGGATAGACATGCCAGCCTGTGTCTCCATGTTTAAATGAAGAGATTGAGCCCAATGATAGGTGTCTTGCTTAGGGTTTCTATTGCTATGATAAACACCATGGCCAAAAGCAACCTGAGGAAGAAACAGTCCTGTTTCATCTCATCTTGCAGCTTGAAGACCATCAGTGAAGGAAAGCAAGGCAGGAATTCAAGGCAGAACCTGGAGGCAGGAATTGAAGCAGAGACCATGGAGGAGTGCACTTTACTAGCTTACACCTTATGACTTGCTCAGCCTGCTTTCTTATAGCACTCAGGACCACCAGCCCAGGGTGAGGGGGGACCTTCCACAGTGGGCTAGATCCTCCCATACCAATTATCAGTTTAAAAAAAAAAAAGTGCCACCCCAGGCCATTCTCATGAGGGGATTTTCTCAGTTAAGGCTCCCTTTTCCCAAATGACTCTAGCTTGTTTCAAGTTAACACAAACTAAACAGGACAACGAGGAAGGACCCATTTGAGGGATACAATCCCTAGCAACCCTTTGGGACTATTTCTGGGTATATGTGGTAGGAGATACTATTTTTAAGGTCTTGCTGTTGTTGGCTAGGATCTTGTGTTTGTAGGTATGTTGGATTAAAAATTCAAACTCCCAAAAGATATAGGGTACACCAGGCTCCAGATATTACCTGAATGAAAGACTGTGACCCTTCCCTCCACCTCATCCATGATCTCTCTATCCAGCCCCCAACACCCACCTACCCCCCCTGCCCCAACCCTGCCACCAACTCTGCCCTCAGGTCTACTTCCTTTAGGAGGGTGAATAATTTTTCAAACCCTTTGCGAAGTCTGGTGCCCCAGGAGACGCAGAGGATGTGACGGGCAGTGCTATTAGAGCCAGCAGGCTGGGTGGGAGAGGGTTGGTTCTTCCAGGAAAAGTGAGTGTACTGTACAGCACACAATGCATCTCTGCTGGAGCCTGCCTTCCCTCTTTCCTGCCCACGTACTCCTCTCAGCTCTGTGAACACTATCTGCTGACTTTCCGCTCTTCTTTCAAGACTTTGTTCAGTTCTGCTCTCTGAGGCCTCACTGTGGGGACAGCCGTCTCTTCTCATCTCTGCTTCCAAAGTACCCTGAACCCACTGGTGTGTGGGAAGTGTACCGTGTCATGGTCTCTTTACGTGTTGTTCTTCCCCCACAAGACTTGGAACTCCTTAAAGCTGCGGGCTGCCTTGCTCTGTTTCGTGTACTATGTATACTTTTCTCAATTGTTAGCCTCGGGAGCTGCAAGAGAAATAGTCTAAGGTGCCTGTTCTCAAGCTGACTGAGGTCAAGTAGGGAAAGGCAGGACAATAGACGCTCAGAGTGTGTGCAGGAGGATGAGCACTGGGTGCCATAGGAACACAACACGCAGCTGAGCATCCTTTCTTCCCGATCCATGGTGTTAAAGGCTGGAGAGTTTCCAGGGGTAGAAGGGAACTGCCCTTGATCTAAGCTGAGTGCTGAAGGCACATGGAGCCTAGAGAGGGGACATTTGCTGGGGTAAGAACAGCAGATTAGAAGGCTGTGGAATACCGCAAGGCCAGAGCTCTATGTTCAAATAGGAAAAATAAAACAGAAATCCATAAAATAATTTTAATAAGTTTCCAATAAGGTATGAGTTTTATAGCACAACATACTAAGTGTTATTAAGTAAGATTAGAAAAATGTTATGCTAGTTGTGAACTTACACTGGAAGGTAAGTTCTCTCAAGGAAGGTGGGCTTTGACTCACTTAATGACAAGCTAAATTGGAAGTCTGAGTCTGGGTTTTGATCTCACTCTTCCAGGTGTTACATTGGTGACAATTTTTCCCTCCCTACACCTCTACGCCATGATTTGAAGACACTAAGATATGTCTCTCATAGTTATATTGAGGATGAAAAGAGAGTCAATATTTATGTTAATTTGGCTTACTGGCCAAAATTTTGGCTAATGTCATTGCTAAATGCACAACATATCAGTGAGTTAACTATGCGTTTTATGCATATTTGAGTCTGAGGACAGGGTAGACTGACTCTGATGCCTGTATTATGCATTAGGATTTTTTCACGTGGTCTGGGTATTGAGTATAAGGTGCTCTTACTTTGAAGAAAGTGCATTATAGGCAGAAGTTTCACCCATAGACTTCCTCTCTCCATAAAACTCTAACAGATGCATCATTCCCTTGGACATCTGTTTCCTCTTCTGTAGTCCATGATAAATGTCATTTGTGGCCTTTTATAGTCATTCCTACAGGTGATTTTACAGAGAAGTATGATTCCATCATATTAGGTGAGTCTTAGATGTGGGAGGGCTGAACGAGCTCTATCCAACAGATCCAGAATGACCAGC